AATTAAAGGATGATGTTTCCTCAGGTTCGGCCCTGAACGACGGCCAGTGGCACTCTGTGGACCTGATCTCAGGACGAGGACGTCTGACTGTCATGGTGGACGGAGACGAAGCAGCTGCAGCTCACGCCAGCCCTTCGTTTGTTATCACTGCAGGAGGTCAACTGTTCTATGGTGGTGAGCGGCTGTTGAATAATTACAGTCACATGTAACAGCTGAAATAAAGCTCAGCAGTAGTTTCCATGTGGATGTTTTCTCCTCACTTCCTGTCTCTTTTTTCTCTCCTGGTTGCAGGTTGTCCTTCTGACAGCAGCAGTCAGTGCATGAATCCCTTCAGAGCGTTCCAGGGCTGCATGCGTCTCCTGACTGTGGACGACCAGCCGGTGGATCTGATCCAGGTGCAGCAGAGGCTGATGGGAAACTACAGCCACCTGCAGATCGACATGTGTGGCATCATCGACAGGTCAGCACCATTTAGTTAATAAAACAGAGACACTGATGTAGAGTCGTGAAGGAAAGTTTACGTACAATTGTGAAGACCTGTACAGTCAAATGGAGTCAGTTTCTGGTGACTTTTGTTTGTGTGTTTGGATCCTGGACAAAGTAAAGAACTTCTGGAGGAAAGTTCTGGATGATCTTGGGTGTTTCAACAAGACAATGACCCCAGACACATCAAAAGTGGAAAAGAAATGGTTCAGTCCAGCTGGAGTTCAGGGTTCAGACGGGTCTCCTGGCTTCTCAGAACCCGTGATGAAGACACAAAACGGTTTTAGTTTAGGAGTCGCTGAACACTCAGTCCTGCCCTACTATAAACGGTCTTTACAGTCGTATGCAGACTGTTGTTCATGACTGTCAGTGAACTTTCTGCTAAACGGGCTTCATTCATCCAGACATGATCTGCTCTGTGCACATTATTCCATGTATTACATGTTTAAATGTCCGAAAAGAGGATTCAGTTGTTGTTAAATGTTTGGTTTTGTTGCCTTTATAAACCCGGTTCATCTCCCTCTGAGGGCTCTACAGGGTTACATGTGGATTACATTAGACTCAGAGGCAGCAGGTTCTACCAAAACCATCCTTTAAGCAGAAAATAAACCATCCAGGAGAAACCCAGAGTTCCTGTTCAGCTGTGAGCTCAGTGACTGTTTTTATTTGTTTGTTTGTGTCATCGTGACTCCTCCACTGTTTATCCGTTTGGCTCCAGAGGCCTGCAGAGTTTCTTAATCTAGCCGTGAGCACGTTCCCATAAAAGAGCCGGCGTTGGTGCCAGATGACCAAACGGGTCCATTTCTCACAAGAACCGTAATCCTGAACTAAAGAACAAATTTAGAACCAGAACACAGGCTGAAGGCAACACAGCAGGAAGGAGAGCTGAAGGAAAACTACAGACTGTGTCAATGTGTAGGATCAAAAGTTAATCAGTACTGTTGTGTAATTAATTAAACGTATCTGTACCTTAGATGAAGCATGTTTTCATGATGCTAAGACGGTTTTCGTCTTGTTCTTATTGTTTCAACCCTGAAACAGTCTGAAGAGGACGTAAAAAAAACAATTAAAGAAAAGCAACAGTTTGCTCAAACTTATTCTGATTCTAAAAGTCATGTGAGAAAATGACAAATCAGTCGTATTATTATTGTTAGTTTTCAGTCAGAGTTTCCACAGAGGCGCCGATAAACAGACAACAGCTCGTCTGCAGTCAGAACGCTCAGCTGGACGTCTTCATGTTGTTTCTGCTGCTGTCAGACAGACGGAATATTTTACCTCCACATTTCTGGCCTCGTGCTGCCTGTAGCTTTTTAAGGTTATTTTTATTTTATTGTTTTTGTCTTTCCAGTGCAGTCATAGTGACGGCTGTGTGCCTTTAGTCGAGGAGTTATTTCACTCCGACACACTGAGGATGCTCTCATCATGGACGGACCTGTTAGAACACACTAATGAACGTTTGCTGTGTTTTCTGTCTCCAGATGTTCTCCGGGTCGCTGCGAACACGAAGGCGGCTGCACTCAGTCCTGGACCACCTTCCGCTGCAACTGCTCCGGCACCGGCTACACCGGCGCCACCTGCCACAGCTGTAAGACCCCACGCCTCCCCGTCGCCGCCGCCGCCGCTCGAAAGGTCACGAACGGTGCACAGCGACGCTCGTGTTCATGTGTAATTAGACAAGCTGCTGCCTCGGCCTCGGGCTCCCTGCGGACCGGGTCGTGGCAGAAGGTCAGGTTCTGATCAGACCCTCAAACCGGCCGACGCACCGAGAAACAGATGTAGAGGGTGAACGAGAAAAGACTAACAGGAGAGAAAGATGTAAAGCTTCAGAAGGCTGTGTTCCACTTGCAGATCATTTTAGGGCCTTTCTGCTTGTTCCAAGGCCAAGAACCGCCCCTTCAGAACCGCTTACAGGGCAGAAAAACTAACGTACTCCAGGGTAGATACAGCCGAGTGGCTCTGAAGAACTGCTGCATGGATCTCTGTACTAGTTGGTTAAACTTAGCAAACAGTAAACCAAAAGCAAAACGACTACAAAGAGACACAAAACAACCATAAAGATGCAAAAAGACCACAAAAAGACGAAAAAAACTAAAAAGAAATCAGAGAAATGGTGATTTTTTGTCCAGAAAAAAGTACATTTTTCATGGCAGGTGTTTCTGAAAACTGCTTTTCAGTTTTCTTCTTTCCAACATCACCATCGACGACGTAAAATCCACCATGTAGGCGAATATAACCAACCTCCACTGCAGACCTGGAGTTACATCTATAAGGTGCACTCATGGTCGATCCTACACGTCCTCCACCAAACAGAAAGCCTGAAGGAGCCGATTATGAGTCGGTAAACCAATAAATACAATTTAATTTAGCAGAACACGAGAGATTAAAAGAGAAAATCATCACGGTTTCTCTTGAAAACTGCCAAACACAGCAGCAGACAGAGCTGCAGTGGCATTAAAGGTACAGATCAGCAGCGACTAACGATGGAAATCTCTCCTCAGCCATCTACGAGCAGTCCTGTGAGGCCTACAAGCACAGAGGCAACACGTCGGGGTTTTACCACGTGGACGTGGACGGCAGCGGACCAATCAGGCCGCAGCTCGTCTACTGCGACATGACAGGTAGCTGCACACACACCTGGTTTCTCTGTAACCTGCATCCATCCAGAAACAGATGTTTGGTTTCTCCTCCCCGCCAGAGGACCAGACGTGGACGGTGATCCGGCACAACAACACCGAGCTGACCAGAGTCGGAGGCGGCGCTCGGCACTCGGCTCACTTTGAATACGCGTCTGATGAGGAGCAGCTGGCGGCGATCATCCGCCAATCGGAGCACTGCGAGCAGGAGCTGGCCTACCACTGCAGGAAGTCTCGCGTCCTCGGCTCAGCAGGTACGAAGCACTCGCTGAGACGTCGGACGTAGGACGAAGGAAAGCGTTCGAAAGCGAATTAAACTTTATCGTCACTGCAAAGAGGACAAACACGAAGACGTCGTCCACACGTAGCAGAGTTTTTATTAAACCGAATATCCACCACCTCGTTTTTAGAAAATAAATCCATTTACACCTGACCACACAGGTGTGTCGTTAAGCACATTCATAAGCTGCCAAACCTCTGGGTGGCAGTAGTTCCCCAAATTCTGTCCAATCAGAGGAAGCTTCCGTCTCTAATAACCGTCCTTAACGCCGTCCTTCTCCTGTGTTCCTGTACATGGAACAGTATCTGGAAAAGAGACGACGCCAACACAGTTCTGAGGACGTCCACGTCGTTTCCGAACATATTTTGTCGCAGGCGATGACGTTTCGAACCCAAAGCCTGGTTACTGACGTCCACATGCAGACGCACAGGATTCACACATCTTTACTTTGGTCGGAGGCTTTTGAAAGAATCGTTTTTAATGCTGTAAATCTGCACCTTCGTGTGGACGGCAGGCTGAATCGTAAGAAAATATCTTCGCGAGACACCTTGCTACATGTGGACGAGGTCTCAGACGACGAAATGCAGATTAGCATCGAAGCAGACGACCAACAGCAGCAGTAAAGTGCATCACATATGAAAACACTGACATCTGAGCTGCTCTGTTGTGTAAGACTGCTTTCTAATAAAAGTTCGGCCTGTAGATAAAATCGTGGCACTTCTATAGCCAATAATCACAAACTCTGTTGATATCAGAGCCTCTGGTGTGATTTACAACCTCAAGCACATTAAAACTCTGAATTATTGTCTTTATTGAGCTGCAGATGCTTTCTGTTTGTATCGATCATGTTCCACGTTATCGATCAGCTGTATTCGTACGGCGCTCGTTAGGCGGCGCGGTTCATAAAGTTTTTCACATTTGACCGATGAGCCGCTAATGAGACCGAACGAGGTCGAGACGGAGCGAGTTATGGATCCTCGTGTGTCTTTAACAAGCCGAGTCGTCATTAGAACACGTTTTTCTGCCGTTTGATTGTCATGTCGGTGTGATGAAGGATCTCTTTTAACAAACTGTTTCGATTGTTATTTAAAAAATGCTGTAAGAACTTCTAAAAGCATCGACACGACGTGGAAAACGGGCCTGAAGTGGAGCTATTTGTGCACGATCTCATGAATATCTGGGGACACAAAGCTGGTGGATGAAGCCGTTAAACAGAACTTCCTCTTTCCGTTCAGACTTCAGTCCGTTTCACCCACTAACATGTTTTATAACTGAGGCTTCTGTTCTGTCCTGCTCAGTGCTCACCATCATCACTCCTGCGTTGGTCTTTTGCAAACCATCTCCACGACTTCCCGTCTTCTCCTGCGTTGGTGAACCTTCTTTGTTTGGTTCATATTGTGTTTATTTATTCGAATGTCGTGCAGCTTGTTTGAGCAAATAGATGGTTGGAAACCCGCCTTGTTGAGCAGCTGATGAGCCTCTCTGGCTGATCAGGCTTGTGAATGACTCTCACTGAGCTGGACGATCTCACTGAGCGCTCATCGTGGTCGGCCTCCTTGGGATGCACCATGTTCAGTCGCTCACACACTTCCTGTTGTGGCTAAACAAGCCGATGTGTTAGTGGCATGAAGACCAGACGTGTCCGGAGGCTTCTCGGTCTTGTTGGGACGACTGTTTCCCTCTTTGGCCTTCGATGGGCATCATGTGACGTCTCGGCTTGTTTTGCTCACGACAGCGACTTTCCAGCAATCTCTTGACTCGGCAGTGGTCTCCCAGGACTGGACGCTGAGCCCAGAGGTTCTCATGTTGAGCTTGTGAGTGTCTTTGAAGCCAAGCACGAGGTCTTGAGGCTTCTGACGACTCGCCGTACGGTAGATCTTTAGTTATTCTGCCGCCAGCGAAGACGGCTAAACACAGATAATCTACAGCGGTTTAGTTTTCCCTCTATAGCTCCTACTGTGATCTCTGTACCGCTGTAATAGTCACTTTACACAACCAGAGTTCACAGCTCTGCTCGTTTAGTTTTTCTAAAATGTGCACATTTGGTTCAGGAGCAAAGTAATGTCTAGTTTTCTGTAAATATGACAATAAACCTCTTAAATCTTTAAACCTCTAAAGACTCATTTCTGTTTATCAAAGTTACATATTTGGAGTTTTTCTTCTATTAAACTAAAGCCTTCCTGCCTTAAACTGACCTACATGTGACTCTACACGGTTGTTTTCTTCTAGAATGCGCAGATCTATAACGTTGTGTCCTATTTTTCCCACCCACACCTCTACACTCGCTGCAGCTCGAGCACACCAGCTCACCTCTGACTCTGCTCAGACACTAAAACTCCTCTACTTACTCACTAGCATGTTGTAGTACTGAATTAATGCAGCTTTACATGTTAGTTTTCTCACGTGTAAAAAAAAACCTGCCTATGGACTCGTGAACGAGGTAAAAGTTTGACTTCTGTCTGAGTTTCCTTCCTGAACTGATCCACTCCTGTGTTTCAGAGGGCTCTCCGGTCAGCTGGTGGGTCGGCGGTCCGGACGGAGGTCAGGTGCAGACCCACTGGGGCGGAGCTTCACCGGGAAGCCAGAGGTGCGGATGCGGCGTTCAGCAGAACTGCGTGGAGCCCAAACACCGCTGCAACTGCGACGCCGACCGGGCCGAGTGGTACCGAACTCACACACATCCACGGCAGCATCGTTTAGGAATAAATAAAAGAAATTCATCACTATTTATCTTTTTTTATGGAAATAACGATGAATAATTGTCGTTTTTCTTCCTCGTCATCTCCCTTTTCTTAGTTTTTCTCCTTCGGCCTTCGATTGTTACGATAATTACGCTCCTTTTATAATCTTATCTTCTGTTTTAGTCTGATTTAGTTTCATTCGTCTGCTTTGTGGCTTCTTCTCGTTCATTCTTTCACTGCCCTCCAGGTCGAGTGACTCGGGCCTGTTGACCCATAAGGAGACTCTTCCCGTCAGATCTCTGGTTCTGGGCGACGTCCAGAGGTCCGGATCGGAAAGCGCCTACAGGGTGGGGCCGCTCCGTTGCCATGGAGACAGTAAGTCCAAACCCAGAGCCCTCGTTTTATAAATGATCTTCCTCGTTCTCCAGCCTTGATTTATTTATTTGTTGTTGTTGCAGAGAACGTGTGGAACGCGGCGTTCTTCGACAAGGAGACGTCCTACCTCCACTTTCCCACCTTCCACGGAGAGCTGAGCGCCGACATCTCCTTCCTGTTTAAGACCACTTCATCCTCCGGCGTCTTCCTGGAGAACCTGGGCATCAGAGACTTCATCCGGATCGAGCTGAGCTGTAAGTCGAGCCGCCGGACTTCAGTCAGACGTGAGCAGGAAGCATCATCGTCCCTGGAGCTGCAGTCTGGGCCGAACCCAGCTGGAGGCGGCGGTTCTGCACGGAGCTCCACCTCCAGACATAAAAACACTCTTTACCGTTTGTCTCCCGTCTTTGGGGAAATCACTGCAGTTGTTGTTCGGCTGCAGAACGTTTCTGTTATAAGCACCAGAGTGTAGAGCTGCTGCTGAAACACTTTACAGCTGCTCTGGATCAAGTCTCAGTTCATGCATTTGCCAAAAAACTCTAATCTCACACGAGGAACTATTTATGTTTCTGTATATTTACATGAGAAATCCGGCTTAAGGCTGCAGATCGGATCCAACGGTGGCATAATTTAAACCTGCAGAAGCCACAGTTTCTCACTTTTTAATGCACATAACCGGAACATCGACTCATCTATTTTAGTTTCAGTCAGGTTTGGATGCCAACACAGCAGGACTTCATGAACTCTGTCGTCCCACCACACTGCTGCAGCTGCAATACTCTGAACTTCCTCCATTCATCGTCCTGCTTGTGCCCAGATTGGAGTTAGAAAGTTAATATACGTTCTCTATTAAAGCTTCAACACATGGAGAGAAATTAGTCTGAAAATGCAACCAAAGATGAGTCGAGGGTTTGGACGGGGCAGTAAGGCAGCCCTGCTAGCTCCTCTTGGTGGATCATCCATTTTATTGACAGTTTGTGATGCGCTTAATGCAAAAGTTTCACCACTAAAACTCCACCTGTCGTTATTTGGAGGAAACACCAGCCTGCAGGTGTAAACCTGCCGTTTCCTCTGAGTTTATTATCCGTTATTTCAACGTTACTGGCTTCAAAATCTTCTTAGTCAGAAAAAAACCCCCAAAACTTTTGAAAACAAATTGATCCAAGTTTTTGATTCTTTCAGTGAATCTGCTGTTTTAACCACAGTACTGGTCTTTCTGCATGTGAATGTTCCACCAAACTAACTCCCCTGCTCACTATATTGTTGCCGGGGCATCATCCCTGCATCCTGGGCTTTGCATCATCGGTTTAAAGAAACAGAAACACATACAGAGAGTTTTCTTTTCAGTCGGACCGTTCTCCAGCGAGAACACGGTGGAGATAAATGTGAATACACAAGACTAGGTTAGATGTAATAAACACAAATAAAATGTTATTAGATCAATAAAACTTGAAGTTGGAAATGTAGAATTCTGACTTTGACTCTGCATTGACCACATTTATTAATCTTTTTACTGGGAACCAGTATCGAGGTTTATTTCCCTCCATAAATGAAGCAAAAATAAGAGAAAATAAACCCCCTGTGAGCTTTAAGTGGAGCTTTAAGAACAAGTCATGAGTGATGCTTCAACATAAACACGCTGAATCTAACTCGTCTTTACATCAGGAGGGTCGTGTCCTTGTCGTCAAACACAACCTCAAGTAGAGAATCATCTTTACCACACAGGGTTTAGTGTAGACGGCTGGTTGGGAACGTTTCCTTTGTGTTTGCGTCACTTAAACGACGCCTTACTTCTGTTGGAATACGTGTTTTCTCGTCAACGTTCCAGCAGAACACAAAGATCTCAGCTGAGCTCCGACAACAACAAAACCACTTCGTCTGAGTTCTTACAGCGATGAAGGACTTCAGAGTGTTTGGTAAAAGGGTGACGGGAGAGATAAAGATAAGGAGATAAAAGGTCTTTTAGCTTTTAATAAAGAAAAAAACTACACAAAAGGTTCAGCGTTCAACACGAGATGCACTTTACTGTTGACACGAGAACGAGGAGAAGCTGTCGGTGATGTTTGTAAAATCAGCATCGTGAGTTTAGTTCAAATATATCAACATGTTAATTACAGTAAAACAGCAGCAGTTCAATCACCTACATGAGGCAGAAGCTGTGCAGAATGTGTTCATATGAGTAGAAATAAATGAATGAATGTGAACACTAAGTCCTGGTTCTGTTCCCAACAGCCTCCACGGAGGTCCTCTTCTCCTTCGACGTGGGCAACGGCCCGCTGGAGGTTTCCGTGAAGGCCGGCTTCCCGCTGAACGACAACAGGTGGCATCGCGTTCAAGCCGAGCGCAACGTCAAAGAGGCGACGCTTCGCCTCGACGAGCTTCCCGCTGCGACGCAGGAGGCGCCGGCCGACGGACACATCCACCTGCAGCTCAACAGCCAGCTCTTCATAGGTGTGTGGTCCTGCACGACGACAATGCTGCATTCAAGAAGCTTGTTTGGATGAAGTTGTGTTTTTTATCAGCAGCTTTTGATGCATGTACGACAACATTATCTCCATGTAAGTGTTGATTCAGGAGCTGTCAGCCATCATCTCCTCTAATCCTCTGAACTCCAAAATGGTC